AAAATTAATAATTAAAATTATACCTATGGTTGTTAGATCTAAAATTACTAAACGATTGAGTATTTTGCCTCGATTTTCTTGCAAATTTGATCAAAATGATATTTTCCAGCATTTGTTATTTTTCATTATATGTTTGCACAATCTCAACTTTCTTTGTTTTTTTCTGCACTTTTTCTGGAATCTTGAATAATATATCTTAAATTTTGAACAAATTTATACTTTCTCCATTCTTCATATACTTTTAAAAAACTGGATGCAATATTGTCATCTTTTAGATCAAAAATTTGTTTTGCAAATTCGCTATCTGGAATTTTTTTGGCATCATTTATTTTATTCATGATTTCGTAAGCTGAATTATTCAGCCATTTAAAAAGACCAAAGAAGGTCCAGCCATTATTGTTTGCTTTAGTAGTGTATTTTTTAATCAATTCACGAATATTATTTTCTTTGTCATGGAACACTTTTGAAGTTGAAATATTTACTGGAGATTCTGAATCTTGAGATAGCTGATTAATACCCTTTGCATAATGTTTCGCAAAAAGAAGTCGATTTTTAAAGTTACTCCAACTAGGAATAGAAATGTTGCTGATTTCATCTTTGAGACTTTGAATAATGCCAGTGTATGTTTTATCAATACGATCAAATGCTAAAATCAAAGATTTTTTAATTCCATTAACAACAGCATTGAACATACTTACTTTCTTCATAATTTTTCGTTTCATGATTATTATTATTTATTGCATTCTCAAAATCACTACAGTAATAATCAAAAATACCATAAATATCTATTTGAGGATTTTAATGTGTATTATTACATGTCTAATTGAATATCCTTGATAGCTTTATTGGTCAATTCAATCTTTTGATCTTCAAGGTTTTTCGAATCTATATTATATTGCAGAAAAAGATCTTTGATGTTTATGCTGCCTTGGATAATCAAATAACTGCGCTCAATCGAAAGAGTATATTTTTGTGCTTCAAGTCTTTGTGAAAAATTCTTGAAATTTAAATAAAGAATCAAAAGTTATTTTCTTAATTTTCTCAATAATCATCCTGCCTTCCGAGTAATTAGTGTCTGATTCATACTGATTCAGCAATAAATTATCGATTATCAGAAAGCTTAGCAGTATACGAACTTCGTAAACTTGGCATTAAAAAGGTAGCTTCCATTATTTAAATAATAATTATTTAATACTTATTTCCCACTAAATAATGTAAGGATTTTATATTCAAATCCTTTATATAGTTCAAAATCTTTTATCTTGCGACTTCTTTTAACTTCATAAAGAAACGCACTTTCTTTATGATTTGCATTCTCATCATCATCATCTTCATAATCACAACCATCATCAAAATCCTTACCAAGCAAATTCCAATCAAAATTCTCTACATCAATATCTGTAATTAATGTAATAGTAAAAAGATACTTACTTAAAAAAAAAAACCAAACTAAAAAGATATCGTAAGCATACCACCCATAAGACATAATTGATGTGTCGTAAGTTTTGTAAGATATCTGTAATGTGAGGGAGATAACCGTTGACAGTCTTTGAAGATAAATACCAGGTCTTAGAGTTGATAAAGGTCGCATTGCATTTGTTTCATGAGGTATCAGAAGCGATTCATAGCTAAATTTATAACGATATTAAAAAATAGTAATTCATAAAAAATTACATCGTAGAACTTATACGCTGAAAGTAATTTACATGCATAGTTTGATCAATAACATTTTTATTCAATAGTAGCTTTGCAATAAGGTCATTTCTGCCAAAACATCCAATAAGACTAACACAACAGAAATTCAAGCGTTCGAAACAGGGTTTAAAATTGGCATG